GGAGAGGCGGGCAGGCATGCCGTGCAATGGCGCCTCCGGGTGGGAGCGCGGACCGCTCGGTTGCCCGCAGCCGGTAGAGAGCGGGGCGGTTCAGCTCTGGGCAGAAGCGGGGCCGAGGGCTGGGCTGCCCTGAGCCGAGTTGCACTTTCGCGTCCTGAAGACGTTCTGGCGCCTCTTGTCTGCTCCTGCCGAAGAGATTATCGGCTGGTGGTTCCTGGTGTTCTCTTGCGAAGGAAACCAAAGGCCGTTCGGGTACATGGCGGCAGCCACCCAGACACACCTGTCCCGGGTAAACAAAGTCCAGCCACACCTTAGAGAGCAACAGGAGCAGCCTGGAAATGTTTCCTGGTATTCTAGAGCTGGAAGGGGCCCCAGAGTCCAGCCCTGCCGCTCCTGTTCCCAGAGGTTTTTCACATGCACGTCGCTGGGACAGGAATTTTGCCCCGGTTCTGTTAATTCTCATTCCTTTCAGCCCATTTATCTATCTAGCATGATTTATGACAGTGATTGGATTTTATGTCTGTCTTTCATGACATCAGCTATTCCACCCAATTTTTCATTATCTCCATATTTTATAAGGATTCCCCCCACCTCTGAATCCCTAAGAAAAAGGTTGAATAGTTTGGGAAAACTGAGGTTGGAAGGGGACATTGTGCATCCGAGGTTCCTCACCATCACAGTGTTGGAAGGGGAGCAAGAGAGAGGGGATAGCCTTCAGCCAGCTACAAATATGGTGACTCATGTCAGGAGGAAATGCAAGAGCAGGTGGGGCTTCCTAAGATTTAGGAGAGTCCCTGATAGGGGAAGCGGCAAAATGAAGGCCTCTTCTCTTCAGAACACCTCCTAAAGGACTCCTCTGTCATCAATGTCCTTGGGGGCTGTCACATTGCTCTCCATTTTATTCCCCCCCTCCAAATAAGAGGAGCTCTGTTTACTCCCCAGTCTTTTAACATCTCCCAAAGGGACAGACTCTAGACCATCATCTAGCCTCTGGGAGCTCCCAGAGAAGCACTCTGCTGTCTGAACTACCATCCAGCTGCTGCAGCTGGACACCTTTCCTAGAGCTCTTGATTGCTCGATCTTGCTAGCAAACTGGTGGAGGACTGAGAAATCTGAAATGCCAAATATGGAGGAGTGGGGCAAGAAATAGGCTACACTACCCTGCTTGAGTCTTCTTTTCCCATGGGGTAGTGGAACAGTCAAGCATTCTATCACAGTAGACAAGACCCCAGAAGCAGCTGTGCCCAGCCAGAGGCCCATCAACCTGGAAACATATCTGCCTGCACCTCAAGGCAGCCACCACGAGGTCTCCTCCCCCCGACCCTTCAGCCACAAAAGAGCTCAGCAGGGCACTCTCTGGGCATCTGTGCCCTTTGGGTAAGCCTCCTTATACACAAGGAGAAGGAGAGACCACCCTGCAAGGAGGTGTGCAGAGAATGATTCTGGGTGGGGCATGGCACCTGGCCAGAGCAGCAGCAATCGGCTCAACATTTCTCAGCACAACCTCTTGCTTGTCCTCTTTCCTGAGGACGTCAGTTTGGGGCCCGAAGGTTTGAGTGAGAATCATGTTGTAGAAAGAAACTGGTTCATTCATGACCAAGTTAAGGATGTGAACACAACTAGATCATCCAGGCATCAAGGTAACCTGGAAATGCACAGGGTGTTTTGTTTGTCCCTTCGTTTGTTTCATTCTCCTGTGCATGTCCTGGTGCTGGTGAAATGGTATCGAGCAGGGAGAGAGGGCTGAAGCCAGCAGGCACCCTCCAGCCTGCCCCACGAAGAAGTGGGGAGCCCTAGCCCAGGATAACCATGGTCAGCCAGTTCAGCCGCGCTTGCGAGCCGCGAAGGCGTGGGAGGAGGAGGAGCACTAAGCCCAGGCCAGAGCAGACGGGGGCTGGGGCTGGGGCTGGCTTTGGGGCGGCCGGGAGTCTTCACGTCGGTCACCCTAAGCCCTGGAGGAGGAGTCCCGCTGCGGCGGCAAACTAGCAGCTCTGGGCACAGACTCGCAGGAGTGCCG